GCGCTGATGGATCGGCCCAGTTCCTTACGCGAGGAGCAATTCCCTTTAGCGATAGTAGCTTCTGTCTCGCTTAATGCGAGATATAGCTCCCGCGCATATACCATAGCTAAAACCCGAGGCGTCTTACCTCAATCAATCAAAAAAGGGAAAAAATACTAAGGTGTCACACGAATAATGATTTGTTTGCCTTACTTTTTTTAAGATTGTTGTCTGATTAATTTGCGAAAACATGAGCAAAAACTGTTAAAACACGCACACAAGGAAGGGCGCTCTGTCGACCTGGCTACCCACAAGACCTAAGGAAGGGGGCCGAGGAGAGGACATCATCAAGATTGCCTACAATGTCATTGTTATCATTTTTCCCTAAGCAAGTGACTCCGACTTCAGCTTGGACAACGCATCAAGACTCTTCGAACAAATGACACATGAGTACCATGCCGGTTTATGACAAACAATCGGCCAAAGGCGTCGAGGACTAGACAACTCCGCTTCGGTCACAAGTCTCGCAGAGGAAAGGAGCTCGCCTTGCACAAACATAGCTAGACATGTCTATCATGTTAGCTAGAGAAATTAGGGAGAAGATTCACCACATTTTGATTATACACTAGGCAGGGTCATGTATACAGTTTACAAGCCACAACCTAGGGTGATCATGGGGTGTTCCAATACTTGAAGACATGCGCCACTAACTCAACTACCAACCGCATAGTCGACACATTACACTATATTGTATGACGGGACGTATACAAGAGCTTGTACCGTATAGGACTACAATATAGTCTAACACACCTCCCCCCCGTAGCCCATGACGGCGGCGACGACGCAAAGACTTGATTGGAACTCAGAGTAAATATCCGATCACAGCCCCTTGGTCCTGATTGCTGGGAAACATAGTGGCAAACAAAAAAATCGGAATTGTGATCAGACCAAGGGGCTGCCAATATGAAGATGCATAACGGTTTGTGATCAACGATCGTTACCAACTCTGGGAGTGCAGCGAAAGTAGATGAGTCAATGTAGATCATAGTTGGAGTCACTCGAACGTCGATGACGATCCCGCGATCCTCCCTCGAATGATCCCTTAAACAGAAGACCGAAAGCACGTCATTTCTACTTGGTTGCAAGCGTATGGCCTTGCTTCGCCGTCCAGAGCTAATCATCACCGGAGAATTAGAGGGAGAAGTTTATAACCACACGGGGCTTCTAATTATGAGGTTTAGAGGTAGCTAGGGCTCGCTCTAATTAGTCAACTAGGACCAACTAGAACATGCACTAGATCAACTAGAGGCTCCAAAACTTGTGTACTCTATTGGGCACCAAACCTCCACTATATATAGGTTAGAGGGGAGAGGGAGGGCTGCCACCAAGGAGGGAAACCCTCCTTGGGGCATCCAGCCAAGGGGAGGAGGAGTCCGACTCCTCCCCTTCCCCAATTCGGCCCCTTCCTTAGGGAAGGGGCGCCTCTTCCCACTTGGGCCTTTGTGGCCCAAGTTGCCTTCCACCTCTTGGCTTTTTAAGGCCCGTCAATATTTAAATTAAATATAAAATGTTCTAAATACTTCTATACCATTATATATATATATATATATATATATATATCATTTAACATCTTCGGAAACATTTTACACCTATATATAATTAATTAATAATACCCGGTATTACCCGATATTCACCGAAACCCTTCCAGTGACCACGAAATGCTTCCGGAACCTCTCGGAACTATTCCGGATATTAATGAAACAATTCCACAAATATATTCTCATCACTCCCATCCCACTAACACTCAACAGATCGTGATTACCTTAATCTTGTGACCCCGTAGGTTCGGTAAACCATAGACATGAACGAAACCCCTTCGTTCAATGACCAATAGCGGAACCGTGGACATCCATATCGGTCCCTATGATTACACGAATGATATACGAGTGAAACTTTGGTTATCATGCGATGTTCCCTTTGCTTCGCGATACTTTACAAAACCTGGTGTGTATTGGCATCCTCCTGAGGCATCACCATGCTCATTATACCATTACTCTCGTTACCGGTTTTGTTCTTCTTTCTCGTTGACGTGTTCCGGCATCCCTGTGACGTAGTCACCTGTGTCTGGACAGACGATGATGGATGCCATCACATCGAGAGGTCCCTAAAAATATCTCTCCATGGTCTAAGGAGCAAATCCCACTCTTAAGCTATCCGATCACTTGTCAAAATTTCCAGTGAACCTGAAAGTTGTCGTTATGATCACGTTGTTACAGATGACGTTAGAGCAACCCCAAAGCCACCGTATGGTAGGAAGTGACCAAGATACTCTCATGGTATGAGGAACTAAAACACATGCTAACACTTTGTGTTATAACAAATGATTTTAGACGATATAATCACAAAGTATAACAAACAAGTATTGGGTGTTGGGGATCGTTGCAGAAATTAAAATTTTCTACGCATCACCAAGATCAATCTATGGAGAGACTAGCAACGAGAGAGAGGGGAGTGCATCTTCATACCCTTGAAGATCGCGATGCGGAAGCGTTACAAGAACACGGATGAAGGAGTCGTGCTCGCAGCGATTCAGATCGCGGTTGATTCTGATCTAAGTGCCGAACAATGGCGCCTCCGTGTTCAACACACGTACAACCCGGGGACGTCTCCTCCTTCTTGATCCAGCAAGGGGGAAGGAGAAGTTGGGGAAGAGCTCCGGCAGCACGACGGCGTGGTGGTGGAGCTTGCAGTTCTCCGGCAGGGCTTCGCCAAGCTCAACGGAGGAGGAGGGGTGTTGGAGAGGGGGAGGGCTGCACCTTGGATGTGGTGCTGTTGCCCTCCCACCAACCCTCTATTTATAGGGAGAAGGGGGAAGGGGGCCGGCCCCTCTAGATGAGATCTAGAGGGGGGCGACGACCAAGGGGAGGGGGCTTGCCCCTCAAGCCAAGGGGGGCGCCCCCTTTAGGGTCCCCCCAACCCTAGGCGCATGGGCCCTAGGGGGGGTGGCGCCCAGCCCACTTAGGGGCTGGTTCCCTTCCACATACAGCCCATAGGGCCCTTCGCGGCAGGTGGACACTCGGAACCCCTTAGGTGGTCCCGGTACAATACCGATAAACCCCCGAACACTTCCGGTGACCGTATGATGACTTCCCATATATAAATCTTCACCTCCGGACCATTCCGGAACTCCTCGTGACGTCCGGGATCTCATCCGGGACTCCGAACAACATTCGGTAACTGCATACTATTTCCCATAACAACTCTAGCATCACCGAACCTTAAGTGTGTAGACCCTACGGGTTCGAAAATCATGCAGACATGACCGAGACAGCTCTCTGGACAATAACCAACAGCGGGATCTGGATACCCATGTTGGTTCCCACATGTTCCACGATGATCTCATTGGATGAAACATGATGTCGGGGATTCAATCAATCCC